GTAGCCCGTCTGTAAGCTGTGATATCACCTTGGAACATACAACTTTTTCCGGCAACAAATTAATCTTTCCAGAAGGTCTTATTTTCTTAGAGATCAACAATGGCAGCCAAAACATTAAATTCAAAAGTGTGATTTTCTTTGACAATGGTATTTCATCAACAACAAAGGATTTGATGGTTGAGAGTGTTATATGCTTCGTTCGTAGCACCGATGTAAATATTTCTATCAGTTCGAGCAAATTTAGCAGTGAATATGCCAAAGTGCTCAATGGAAGTGCAGAGGATATTTCTTTTCACATCTATAACTCCACTTTCCATGGTCATAAAGGACGTGCTAATGGCGGAGTCATCTCTTTGCAAGGAAGTAACTTATGCAAGTTGAACGTATCAAAATCATCATTTGCAAATACATCTGCTGTTGTAGGTGGAGCAATCAGCATTGACTGTACCACTATTGATGTTGTCACCCTTAACCAGAATAATTTTACAAACAACACAGCATCTAATGTAGGCGGGGCTTTATATATCAAGGCTGTTAAGGCCTCAGTAGTACTGCAGCATTTAACATTTACCAACTGTAAAACGATGGGTGTTGGCGGAAGTGGGGCGTTAATAGACACAAGTCTTGAGTCACTTAACCGAAAGGCGGGCAACGACTTGCTATTGACTGTGGAGAGTTGTCGTTTTGAAGGATGCGTTACTGAGGGTAATTTCATTGGTGGGTCTTTAGGTGTCTTTTATAAAGGGAAAATTAAGATAAACATCAATAACAGCAATTTTATTTCCAACTATGGCGTCCTAACCATAGCACTTGGGCCATATTTATCTGAATCGACATCAAACAGTACGTCGATTAAAAAGAGCTGGGTGAAAATACAGAACTCCATGTTTTTGCACAATAGTGGTCTTGTTTCTCCAGTCTTTGTAAGGGTATTTAATCAAAGTGTCGTTATTTTTCAAAATTTGAGTATGAAATCGAATAGGGTTTTCTCTCATCCTGGAAGTGGAATGGGTGGAGCTGCCTCTATCGGAAACGATTGTTTTCTTACAATACAAAAGTGTCGATTCTCGCAGAATAAAGCGGATAATAAAGGTGGTGCATTGTCAGTTGCAGCTAACTCACTTAATGTGAAGGATTCCTTTTTTGTCGGCAACAAAGTCTTATTTTTACCCGCAGCCGGAGGTGCTCTGTTTATAAACAATACTATGTCCGTTGTCATTTTTAACACCACATTCAACAGTTGTTCAGGAACTTATGGAGGTGCTATCTACGCGGCATTATCAGGCGGCGATTTGAAAATTAAAAAATGTCATTTCGTTGAGAACAATGCAGGTCACATGGACAAACCAGCTACTGGAGGTGGAGGTGCCGCTTTCCTGTATGAAACTCCTGTGATATTTGAAGAAACGACTTTTCAGAGAAATACAGGTGAATTGGGTGGTGCAGTTAGTTTAGAAAATGGTGGAGCAACATTTAAACACTGCCATGCTTCTGACAATTTCGCAGGGGTTCAAGGTGGTTTTTTTGTACTCAGCCTCTCGTGTGGACGGTGTTGTTATACATGTAAAAGACAGTGTTCTTAATCAAACTATAACAGAGTTGAGGTGGTTAGAAATAATTTACAAAATGCCCTCATTTATATACGGAGACAGTTTAGACGAATTAAAAATATTTAACACAACAATGGAAGCTACCCCATTTGACAGTAATGGTCCTCTACTGTTGGTCACAAACTTGGAAGTCATGGATTTTGGAAAAGACAATTCGACTATTCTTAACTGTCCTATTGGGAATAAGGTGGAAGTTTCCAGCTTTACTATGGGCGATCTAAAAAGCACTTGGCAGTTTAGCTGTTCAGCCTGTGCAGGCAATTCCTACAGTCTACAGCGTGGTCGTGCTGTTGGGTCTCGTGTGGTACCAGGATTTCAGTGTCTTCCATGCCCGTTTGGAGCAAACTGCTCTCAAAATATCATCGCCAAACCAAACTTTTGGGGTTTTAAAGAACGGATTGCTCCCCCAACTCTAAAATTTGCCATGTGTCCTGTTGGTTATTGTAGTCCTCCTGAAGAAAGAGAGTTTCCCAAATACAATGGTTGCCAGGGTAACCGTAATGGCAAATTATGTGGACACTGCAGTGATGCTTACTCTGAGACACTTTACTCTGCAGCCTGCAGACCCTCAAGTGAGTGCAATGATTATTGGTTTTGGCTTGTGTCGTTAGTCTACGTATCGCTAATGGCATTTTTTTTGACATTTAAACCTCCTATAATACCTTGGATCAAGCGTCAAATCAAGTGGTTTAAAACCCAAGAAACGACAGACGAGCAAAGTTACAGCGACGGAGGTTATGTTAAAATAATCTTCTATTTTTATCAGGCAGTTGATCTTCTCCTCGCCTCAAATACATCAGGACTGCGTTTTGTAGAGGGTAAAGTAAAGTACGTTCTTGTTGGAGTGTTCAACTTTCAACAATCATTTTCATGGAATGGACTGATTTGCCCCTTTCCGGGTCTTACAGTAGTAACGAAGCAGTTATTTTCGGCCTCTCACGTATTTGGTACATGTCTCATGATAGGTGTCTTTTATTGTTTGCACAGGGGTGCTCAAAGGTGTCGAAGAAAAGAGATTCCATCTGTTTCTCCTTATATGGCTGACATTTTGCAGACCTTGTTGCTAGGATACAAAACGCTTGTTTCAATAAGTTTTGACCTCTTGCGATGCGTGTCAATCGGCTCAGAGAAACAGTTGTTTTTGAATGGAAACGTTGTCTGTTTTCAATGGTGGCAATACATTTTGATTGCTTTAATCATCGTTTTTTTCGCGCCATTTGTGTTTGTCTTATTTTGGGGTTGTTTTAAGTTGTACAACGGACACCTTTCTGTGGCGAGGTTTCTGTTGGCTTGCTGTTTTCCATTACCTTTTCTTGGTTATTGGGTATTCCTCTTTCTATTTCAGTTACAACGAACTGCGGCCCAAACAGCCACAGCCACGAGGCAAATGTCAAAGAGATCTGTGGAGACGACACTTTTTGGCTGTTTCAAGAAGCCTGCGGATGGTGGCACACTTTCTTTGGGCTGGGAAAGTGTTATGATCGGACGCCGGCTTATTCTTATTTTGTTGAAAACATTTGTCAATGATCCAATGCTTCGTCTTCTCATTATGAGTTTCCTTTGTGTTCTGTTTCTCCAACATCATTCCATGACTCAACCGTTTCGAGATATCACTGCCAACAGAGTTGAAACCATTTCGTTGCTGTCTCTTGTCCTCTTGGGGATGGTAAACGTGTTTTTTGCCTCCTTTGTATCTTTGGCCGTTCCATTAACCGATCATTTTAAGTTCTCGTGGTATTTCTGTGAAGTAGTGGAAACCGTCATTCTATGTGCAGTACCTGCTATTATTAGTATCTTTGTAATTGGTGCTGCTTTTTCGCTGGTGATCCGCTTTCTTTTCGTTTGTTTCATCCGGTGTTACAGTAAATTAAAGCATAGTGAAGATATGAGGCCACTTTTGTCCCCGACAAATTAAAGACAGTCCTGTTTCACTCCGTAAATGCTTTCTATAAAGCATTTTTTTTAGACCTATCAGCCTTTTGGTCCCGATCTAAAGTTACCAGACATGATTATACTGTTTATTCTGATTTCGAAGGCATTTAGATCTTTTTATTGTAGCAGATAACACTAGATGTTTCTGACGTTGTTGTCATTGACTACAATTGGCGACAAAATTAGTTAAGACACTTTGCTCTAAAGGGCGTCTCTGACGTTTTGGCAACTTAAAAAGGGGAGAATAAGGCTTTCCCTCCCCCCCCCCCCCCCATTTGCTCTAAAGGGCGTCTCTGACGTTTTGGCAACTTAAAAAGGGGAGAATAAGGCTTTCCCTCCCCCCACCCACTCCACACCAGTTGCACAACATTGCAAGGGACCTGACGCCAATGAGCATTTCGCATCAAATTTATCGATGCAGGCATTAAAATCGAAAGACGTAGTTGCAAGCTCTCCTTCCTTTTCCCGCCCCGCCGCCAGAGCCCCCCTGAGAGCATGCTCGCAGACTACGATTAAGAAGAGGGTCAGACAATTCTTGCTTGTCGCATGTTTTCTTTTGTTCTAATCCTTCTCCTGTTGTTCTCTTTTGATAATCACAATAACATCTAAAATGGATTTAATTGTTTTTTATATAAACACCAATGAAATACCAGGTGAGCTTTCGCGCAAAAACTTGTTATCTTCACATGTGAAAATATCACCGTTGCCAAGACTGCATTATAAATCGCACCTTTCACACTAAAAAAACTATTTAATAAAATGGATTGTTCTGGTGTTGAAAAAATACTTCACTCGTCCGCTGCGCTCACTCGTGAAATATTTTTCAACACTCGAAGAGAAAATTCGTATCTCCGCGCGGCTATGTAATATCCTCTATTTATTTAGTCCCAGGGCGAATACCATTAGCAAATGCTGGCCGGCCAGACCAGTTTAGTGGTAGAGAGAATTCTGTTATTAATCAGGACTGTCCAGCCAGGTCATGTTTTTTCTAAGTAATGTGCACGGCTATTATGGGTTTTTAGCAAAAACTCTATACGCAAGGACATGTATTTGAGTTTAAGCTCTACACTTAAACACGTACTACAACGTTGTAGCACATTCACTGTTTGAAATGTTTTAAATATTATTGTACCATGGGCACCTCAAAGTCACAATCGTTGTTGCGTAACGAAAATGTGTAAGGGGTTTGTATAAGGATTTTAGCGATCGTTATTCAGAGCACAAAAATAGCAGGAAAATGCTGTTGTTAAATAGACATCGCTAAAGTCGCTAAAATCCCCATACAAACACTATTTTTATTACGCAACAAGATTATCACTCGTGAGCTTGGGGTACCTGTGATTATGCTTTAGTGCAGTCAGTCACAGAAAATACGTTACAGTTATTGTATTTCTAATTCTATAATGATTGTAATATAACCCAATAAATTATAATAATTTGTTTGTAGTGTGTCAAAATGTGTATATTGATTCTATGATAATAATTCAAGCACTTGTTCCCTGCAAATATTCGATGCTGATGACTTGTCGCTTCCCCATCTGGGTCATGAAGTGTTTCTGATTTCTCCCGCCAAGAGAAAGATTTTTTCATCCAATCAAAAGCACGACTCATCTCTGCTAATTGAGACGTCGTCAGCATGGAACTTCTTTGTTCGCTCCTCAGACGTCACTGACTTCGCGTGGAAACCAGTGAAGGCACCGTCGCAAAATGTCGGCTCTTTTCTTACGCTAAAAACGTTGGTTTCGTTTCCCTCTTTTCATTGGCTTCATAATCATATTGTTCAGGTTTTTTTAGTCACAGAAAAAACTAGGTTGGTAGATTGAATTTCACCGTGCCATTCCTGAGACTCGTTTACTATGGGGAGGCAGTCCGCTGTGAAAAGGAAGCAAATGAAAAATTATAATTAAACTCCTAAAGGAAACCAATCTGGTGTTGGCTAAGGCTTTTTTTTTAGCATCTAAAGAAACTGGTTTCGATTTGCAAAATCATGGCGGCAACTCGCTTAAAGACGTTCTCTGAATCAAAATCTGGAAATCTTGAGGAAGACGATATCCATATGCCCCTTAAACTAGTGGCGTGCAATAGTCATCTTTGAAGGTTTTTCTTAGTGCCTACTCGGATTCTGTCAACACCAGAATTGACAACCTGATGGAAGATGGTTAAGAGTTCTAAATCAGTCGGGTTACTTTACAAAGCTAAATGTATTACCAGTTGCCCTCAAAATCTCTTCTTACACTATATTATGCGCTTATTTATCCATATCTTACTTACTGTCTACAATTTAATTTGGGCCTCTACGTATGTCACCAACCTGCAACAAATCCACCTGCTACAGAAAAAAGTAGTCTGGGCGATCTCTAAGGCTGACTACAAGGCTTCAAGTAAACCTCTTTTTGCAAATTTGAAAATTCTTGACTTATTTATTACCTATTCTGTCCAAAAGTTTTCATGTAGTTATATCGCAATGGTGCTGGATATCAGATTCATCAATATTCAACTAGATACCCTGACTTTTACCGACGTCATACTTGTAGAACAAGTATTAAGAAATTTTCGATCCTGTTTCAAGGTCCTAGCAGGGCCGTAGCCAGACTTGAGAATAAGACGAGGCAAGTTTCGAGCGCCGAAGGCGCGAGCCGCTGGGGGGGTCTGGGGGCATGCCCCCCAGAAAATTTTGAAATCTAGAGGCTCAGAAATGCTCTTGTAAGCATTTTCTGTGGCATTTTTCTTCAGAAAAGTCAATCTTGGGCAAGTGTAGAAGTTCACTTTTTTAATGCTTAGAGATACTGGTGCCACGTTAATGACGATCTGAATTTCAAAGCATTCAAATGTTGTAACACGTATTATAACAATAAAATGAATCCATGAGAGTAGCCAACGTTAATGGATTTTATATTGTAAATAATTAGGAGAAGTCTTAGGTAACACTTTTTCTGAAGTTTGTCCTTAGATGATATACAGAATCACGCTCACTTATCAATTATCTGTTTCGATACACTCTTGCTTATGTTCTTCAACTTTGAGACAGCTGTGTCATAATATTGCCATCTCTTATACTTGTAGGACTAAGAAGTCACTAACTTTCACGATTAAGAGTAGTAAACTTCTTCCTTAACAGTTAGAAAAGTAAAAGTTTTTTGCCAGTCGTTTATTCTTTACTGAAAGCTAAGGCAATCCATCTGTGGCCAGAGGCATCCAATGTCAATTTCCATTGGTTTATGAATGTACCCTAAAGCAAGTCCGTTCAGCCTCGCATTAGCCATGCTTGTTCAGGACCAGGTTTTAAGCCTTCTCAGTGAGCTGACGTTTCTTCAAAAAAAAAAGAGACCAAAATCAAGACGAGGCAGCTGCCTCGTCTTGCCTCATGCTAGCTACGGCCCTGCCTAGAATATAGAATTCTTTACCGTAGTAACATCAAAGACGCCCCAACGTTTAACGTATTTAAGCGACTGATAAAACCATTTTTAAGGGTCCGAAAGGATGCAAGTTCAATATCTGATTACCTACATATCTATATTTGTTCAGAAAACACACTTTATATCCTTAAAATAGTACACGTCTTTTTTTCCTTATATTTTTAAATGACGCCTAGTATTTAAAATGCCAGTAAGGGGAAATTTCCATTTCTTATAAGCGCGTTGGCCTCTCGGAGATTTCCCTGCCGCAGTCAATCCTTCCAAGCTGAATTTAATGTTATTATAATATCTATTTATTCTGCTTTTTTTTCTCCTTGCTGTAATTTATCTTGTGTGGCAAAATAATAAAAAAATAAAGATAATAAAATCATTGTAAAACAGACAGCCCAAAATAAGAACTGAATTGATTGTAAATTGCGCTAAGGATGTTGAATTTGTGTACCGTTTTTAACACAGTTGGACTGTGTTTGTTATTGTTATACACTCTTACATGCAACTCTGAGCCAAACCTGTATGTGTAGAAACACCCAAAGTCTTGCACGCCCCGAACACCGAATGTGAGACAAAAATCCGCAATTCCCAAAGGGGACGATGGGGAGCAACCTCGTCCTTTCCTGTGAAAACGGTTAAAAATACGCGATAGTGAAAATTCACTCCAAGAAATGAGAAGGAATAATTAAAAAGAGTACTTTTAGCTGTAAAGTGTTTTCACATGACCTCACGGTGGCCACGTTGGTGTCCCAAAACAATGAAACGGCAGCCATGTTGGTGTTCCAAACCAGTCCTGTAGGACTTACGCAAACCCTTCCTTTTGTTCCAATAAATTTACATAAAAGCTGGCCATGTGGGTGAAAACACTTTATAGCATTTTTTCAAAGTGGACAATATGGCGTGATCAAATTGAGTGCTTGACTCAATATTTGCTATCACACGACAACGAGGCTGAGGTCCTTTGACGTTCGCTTTCAACTTCCGGTTTTGGATCAGTGCAAGTTATGCGACACAAAGAGGAGAGACTTGCAACAGTAGCTTTTATCGCATTTTACTACATGTGGTATTTCATATTTGAAGGTAAGAATGAATAATAAACAAGGGTTTTAGCTACAGAGCAGGCGGTATGTATCGGTATTGTTGTGGGTAAGTTTGAGGAAGCCAAGCACGACACAATTGTATGACGGCAATTGACAGACACCGACAAAAATAATGAAATACTACCTCTTGTTCGTGTCGCTCTGTTTATAGACAAGCGAGAGACCTTAGAGAGGGATTTTATTTCAGTAACTTAGAAATTTTCGATGGATTTGAAATTTCAATAAAAAACTTAGCAATGATTAAGCTTCCAAATAACCGATTTTTTGAAAAATTTATAGCTCGAGTAATTTTNAGCATTTTTTCAAAGTGGACAATATGGCGTGATCAAATTGAGTGCTTGACTCAATATTTGCTATCACACGACAACGAGGCTGAGGTCCTTTGACGTTCGCTTTCAACTTCCGGTTTTGGATCAGTGCAAGTTATGCGACACAAAGAGGAGAGACTTGCAACAGTAGCTTTTATCGCATTTTAC